GCCCCGCGCGTCGCAACGGCCCTCGCCAAAGAAACGGTAAAAGCTGGGATCAAAACGGTCCAAACCGAAAGGAGCTACGGAAGGAGGCGCTCCCCCCGTGCAGGTGGAATGTGATTCCTGTTCACGGCGGCGCCCGGGGCTCTCGGCGGTGGCCTAACGGGCTTCTAGGGCAACGCGACACGCGCGGGGCCCCGAGCGCCCGGCCTGTTCGCAGTCTAAATGAGGAATGCTTGGAAAGTAAAACCGCGTCAGCTAATCTCCTCCTGCAGGAAAACCGAGCAGGCCGGCCCCCGCTCGCGCGAGGGCCGCTCAGCCTCAGCCTTCCCCCTCAAAACACTAGGTACGAACATCCGGGAACATCCTACAATGGAAAGTGCTTTACGAAAGAAGGATCCTGTAGTGCCAGTGACAGAACTGATCGGATGGGCTGCGTGACGCGAGGGCTGCTCCCGGCCCGCTGCTCAGGCCAGGGCAGCCCGCTTCTCCTCGGGGGTCTCCTCCAGCAGCTGCATGATCAGTTCGTGCAGGGGCTTGCAGATCTTGGCGTAGCCGCCGCCCGTGAGGTGCAGGAAGTCGAACATGTCGTGGTAGGAGATGGTGCCGTCGGAGTGCACGAAGCCCGCGTCCACGTCGAGCAGCTGCACGCGGGGCAGCTTGGGCAGGGCGCTCCGGAGCAGCTGGTTCACCCGGGCGTTCTTCTGCCGCAGCGGGTTGGGCTTCTCTCCGCGGGGCAGCAGGCCCTGGGCGGCGGGCCGCGCTCAGCCCCGGCACGGGCCGCGAGGGGAGCCGGGGCGCTGCCCGGGCCCAGCCGCCGAGCGCAGGCAGGGGGACGAGGGCAGTGGCCGCGGGGCTCGCGGGACGGCACCTACCAGCACGATGACCTTGGCCTGCGGCTGCTGCGCGTTTATGAGGCGCACGATGGCCTCGATGCCGCCCGCCACCTCCTCGGCCGAGTGCTCGTGGTTGTTGGTGCCCACCCAGACGACGATGACCTGCGCGCCGGCGGGAGGAAGGCGCGCACGCGTGTGCAGGGCAGCGGGCGGCAGCCCGGCYGCCCCCACGGCGGCGGCTCTGGGCCTCGGCCTGCCGAGGGCAGGGCAAGGGGCCGCCCCTTTGCCCCCCACCACTGCCCTTGGGAGAGGACCCCTTCGGCGGCACAGCGGTGCCCCGGTGAGCATGGGCAGGGCCCCAGGCTGGCCGCCCTGCTCCTACCTTGGGTTTAATGTTCTCCAGCTCGCCGTTCTTCAGCCTCCACAGAACGTGGCCCGTCGTGTCGCCGCCGATGCCGAAGTTGAGCGCGTGAAGCGGCGAGAAGAGCTCTCGCCACACCTGCGGGGGCAGAGGGAAGCAGGCGGTGCGGGTGGCAGAGCCAGCGCGGCTCCCGGGCGCGCCCGGCACCGCGGCGGGGAGCAGGCAGCTGCCGAGGGAGGCCGGGAAGGGGCCGCGGCGGCAGAGCGCCGCGGGGCAGCGGCTGGGGGCTGCGGGAGCAGGGCCGAGCCGCGGCGCACCTCGTACTGCTGCAGCAGCTGCACCATGGAGTCGCCCACGAAGAGCACGTCGGGCTCCTTGTCCTTGCAGTCCAGCACGAAGCGGTTGTGCTGCGCCAAGGGGAGCGGCGGCGTGAGCGCGGGGCCGGCCGCGGGGC